AAAAAGAAAAAATACCATCCAGGCTACAGGCTGTGGCTAATTAAAATAAACCAAGACTGATGTAGACATATAGTTACTTTACACAAACTAAGAAGAACTTATTGACTATGAATAATGTGAAAGACAAAGACCTGGTTGCTCAGAACAGAAAAGAACTAAGACCTGGTCTAAGCCTTCAAGGACCTCATGGTCTGTTAGGAAACTCAGATATCTAAATACTGACTAATGCAAGCAGTCAGTCTCCTTGTAGCAAGAACAAATGTTTTATATCATTGCATTTGAGTTGTTTTTTCAGCAAAACACACAAAACTTAAAAGCGGATTTTAGCAAACACATTGGATTCAAGATCCAGTGCACAAAAATCAACTGTATTTCTATACATGCACAATATATAATAGGGAAATGAAATTCAGAAAACAAAAACACTTTTAAAAGCATGAAAAATTATCAAATATCTTCAGTTAAGCCAGATGTGGTGGTACACACCTGTATTCTCAGCTACTTGGAGAACTAAGAAGACTCAAAGTTGGAGGCAGCCTGGACAATTTAGCAAAATCTTGTCTCAAAATTTAAAAAATAAAAAGAGCTGGGGATGTAGCTTGGGTTCAAGCCCCAGCATGCATGCATAAATAAATCTAGGAGGAAATTGAATGAAAGACTTCTATATCAAAACTATAAATAGTACTGAGAGGGACTAAGGAAGACCTAAAATAAATGAAGAGACATTCAGTTCATAGATTAGGAATTTCAATCCATGTGGATTACCTATCAAGGTAAGGTCTAAAATTTACATAGAAAGACAAAGAACCCCAAAAGAGCCGAAACTATCTGGAAAAAAACCAGTAAATTTAAACCACTTACAGTATCAGATTTCTATTTTGCTATACAATCAAAATAATTAAGACCAATGACCAAATCTTACTTAAATTATAACAAATGGCTGCCACAATAAATGATGTTAGAAAACTGACTACCTAAACTGAAAAACATTTGCTCTGATCTTGATATCAAACAAAATTTTCACTCAAGAAGAGTAACAGACGTGTATATCACACCTGAAACAACAAAGCTCTTAATCTGGGTATGCAAAGTGTACTTAAACTAGGCTCCAATAAAACCCCGTTTTAACATGAATACTTACCAGGAAAATCCAAGTTTAACAGATACTGTCACATGTTCATCAAGATGGTTGTGCATTTTTAAAAACCGAGACTACCAAGTATGGAAAGGAAAACTGCAATGTGAACTCTCATACATTGCTGCCCGGAGTGTCAGCACAACCACAGCCTCTACTAAAATTAAACATAATCTTGTCATGCAATCCAACCATATCTCTCCTTAGTATGTTAAAAAAATTTATTCTTAGTGTCAAAATAGTTGAAAGAATCCAATGATCAACACTACAAAGTAGGTAAGTTAAGGGTTACTCAAACAACGAGTTACCACAGTACTATTTTTTAAAAGTAAATAATCATTAAATGTTAACAAAAGTAACAGAATACAAGTGTTGTTATATTATGTCCCCATAAAAGGGACAATATTAGCAAATAAATGATTTTTCACTTATTTTTCTCTGGTTCTCTATCCACACTAAATTAGACTTTAAAATATATGTTAATATTAATGTTAATGGTTACTAGTTTGATACTAATCTTTTATCAGTTCATACTCAAAATCTGTAAAATTACCACAAAGATATTTCTGACAAAAAAGAAAAAACTTCAGTAGTTTTTTTTTTTTCTTCTATATTTTCATTTTGCTGAAATCCACACTTCCATAACCACTTTTTTTTATTTTCCCAGACAGGATCTTGGTATTTCAGGTTGACCTGGACTCACTAGGTAGCCCGGGCTAGCCTTGAACTTGTGGTGACCCTCCTACCTTAGCCTCTTGAATGCTGGGATTCAGGCATGCATCACTATACCCAGCTTCCATAACAACTTTTTTTTTTTAAAGAAAAAGGAAAGAAAAACAAGACAAAATAGAAAAAAGGATAGAACTAAGTATTACAGATTTTCAAAGAAAAATATTAACTAAGTATTACAGATTTTCAAAGAAAAATATTAACACTAAGAAAATACTAGTTGCTAAGTTACATATTATCCTCTTAGAAACAGTTAAGTTACAAAATCAAAGAATAAAAAGTGGACACTAAAACTTTGACAGTACAAACCATTCTGCTCAATGATCTACTAGAAACTTAGTATTATGGTCATCTATTTTACACATTTAAACATCCATATGGTTATATCCCTTAGAGCTCTTTCATTCCCTTTCATTTTTACAATATCTATTATGTATTTTGGATCTTATTACTCTTCCAGTTTTTATTTTTTTTACACTAGAGAGCCACTATGATATTTATAAATGTGAGCCTTATTTATTTCACTTATGAGGATAGTTTCAAGTTGCCTCCATTTACCTATAAAGGCCTCAAGATCATCCTTTTTATTGCTGAGTAATATTCCATTGTATAAAAATATCACATCATTTTCATCCACTCTGCAGCTGTTTAGCATTTTGGTTGTTTCCAAGATTTAGCTATTACAAATTGTGCTGCTATAAACATGGGTGCACATATATCACTGTGGCATGATCTTTTCAATTTTAGGGGGGAAATATCCAGGAGGGGAATAGCTAGATTGAATGAAACTTCTAGTTTGTTGAGGAATCTCCATATTGATTTCCATAGTGGCTGCACCAGTCTACACTCCCACCTTTTTCCCCACCGCCTCGCCAACATTTGTTATTAGTTGATTTCTTGATGGCAACCATTCTTTCCAAAGTGATATGAAATCTCAGTGCTATTTTAATCTGCATTTCTCAAATGACCAGTGATGGTGAACATTTCTTCATATATTTATTTGCCATTTGTATATCTTCATCTGTGAAATGTGTGTTCATCTCAAATGTCCATTTTTGAAAAGGGTCTTTGAATTTGAGGGGCTTGCTGTTTTTCAATTCTTTATATACTCTGGATATAAGTCTTTTGTCTGAGGGACTGTTGGCTAAAATTCTTTCCCATTCTGTGGGTTTTCTTTTTACTTTGTTAGTGAATTCTTTTGAAGTGCAAAAACTTTTTAATAAGATGTGATCCCAGTTATTGATTCTTTGAAGTATTTCCCATGCATTTTTTTTCATGAATTCTCTGCCTACAACTGTATCTCCAAGTTTTCTACTTGTCTTGTCTTTCAATAGATTTAGTGTTTCTGTTTTAATATTTAGATCTCTGATCCATTTTGACTTTAGTTTAGTGCACGATGATAGACATGGATCTAGTTTCAGTCTTCGGCATGTGGAAAGCCAATTTTTCCAATACCATTTATTAAAGAGGCTATCCTTCTTCCAGTGAACATGTTTAGCCACTTTGTCAAATATAAGGTGGCTGAGTGTCTGTGTAGTTGTGTTTGTTTCTTCTAATCTGTTCCACTGATCCTCAGGTCTATTTCTTTGCCAGTACCAGGCTGATTTTATCACTGTGGCTTTGTAGTATAATTTCAAGTCAGGTCCAGAGATTTAGCTCAGTGCATAAGTACAAACAAGAACAGACAAGTAGGGCTGGGGATTTAGCTCAGTGGCATAAGGGCATGCCTGGCAAGCACAAGGTTGTGAGTTCAATCCTCCGCAAAAATAAAATAAAATAAAATAATTTCAAGTCAGGAATTGAGATGCCTCCTACTTTGCCTTTGTTGCCCAAACCACCTTTGCTATTCTAGGTTTCTTCTACTTCCAAATTAATTTTAGGAGTGTGTTCTCTAGATCTGTTAATGGTATTTTGATTGGGATTGCGTTAAATCTGTATAATAGTTTTGGGAATATGGCCATTTTCACAATGTTGGCTCTTCATAACCTAGAGCAAGGAATATCCTTCCATTTTCTAATATCCTCTTCAATCTCCTTTACAGAGTAGTATAATTTTCAGCATGTAAGTCATTCACAATAATGATAATTTTACTTCTTTCTTTCCTGTCTTTATTCCTTTTATTTCTCTCTTTTGACTGATTGCTCTGGCTAATATTTCCAGAACTATATTGAATAGGAGTAGTGATAGTGAACAACCTTATCTTGTTCCTGATTTTAGAGTGAAGGCTTTCAGTTTTCATCCCTTTAGTATAATGTTGACTGTTGGTTTGTCATAGATGGCCTCTATGAAATTGAGTTTGATACTATTCCAAATGACTTTAACAATTAACTAAATCAATATGAACAGAAGAAATTATTGAGTCATCTTTATATAACTACTTCATAGTGGACAACCTGGTCGGCAGGGTAAAGACATGTGGTGAACAGAAATGATATAGGATTCCAAATGAGGACACTTTTGTCTTTTAAAATACACCCAAAATGTCCCAATCTCAGAAGGAAATTCAATGATTATGTAGGCAGAATATAACCATCACTTTATTTTATACTTACTCAAACTTACCAAAACAATTAAAAATCATTCTACACTGAAGAAAGAATATTTCCAACAAGAGTTAATAAATGATACTGTTTAAAAGTCATAATGGACCAACACCACTAGAATAAAATGAAACTTCGTAGATTTTTTTTTTTTTCTTTTTCTCTTGAGAGTTAAGTAGCTTCTCCAGACTTCTCAGTCCTAGGGCATAAATGGTTTCCTCGCCAGCCCACTGAGTGGACAGACTATGCAGATGCTGACACCAGAAGATGAAGTCCAGTCTCATTTCCTTAGGCAAGCACGGGAGAGGTCTAGGTCCAGGAAGGGAGGAGCAGCCTAAACACATCTACTGTCTCATTGTGTCCCCTCTCACATCTTCCTTGCTGTGAAAGATGCTAACACACCTGTATGAAGTGACATGCTTATGTGCCCCTCTATAATCTGGGAGCTAGCTATGAATAAATCCTTTTTCCTTTCTTCCCCAAAATTAATGAACACCTTTGATTCAATCAGTGGCAGCAAATGAACTTAAGGGTATAAACCTAACTGGCCTATAGTAATAATAATAATAATTTGAAACATCTTAAAATGTACTCACCTGAATTTCTATATGACGAGGATTATCAATAAATTTTTCTATTAGTAGTCTGTCATCACCAAAACTAGAAGCTGCTTCTTGAGATGAAAACCTAAAACCATCCCTGTAAAGTAAAAAAGAAAAGTAGTTAAGACTAACAAAATATAGCCCTCATTATAAAGAAAGCCAATATCACTTACTTCAGAACAAAGCAATAAAAATTCCATGTTTGACAACTAACTCAACTTTGGTTAAACTTCAACTCTTCTGCTTACTAAGCTCTGTGACCCTGAGTGAGTTATTTAACTTCTCTTTTCTTAATTTTAGTTTTTTACATATTTACTTTTTTTTTTTTTTTTTTTTTTTTTTTTTTTTTTTTTTTGTCTTTTTGAGACAGGGTCTCACTATGCAGTTCAGGTTGGCCTTGAGCTTTGTAGCCCAGGCTGGTCTTGAACTCACGATCCTCCTGCCTCAGCCTCCCGAATACTGGGATTACAGGCATGAGTCACCACACCTGGCTATAAATTTACTTTCTGTTAATATGTTTGTGATATGTAATTATCACACTTGTGTTGAGGAACTGGCACACACGTGTATCACATCATGATCACTTTACTCCCTTCTTCCCCTCCTTCCTTTCTCAGATCCCCTTCCCATCTTCAAAAAGTCTCCCTCCTCCCTGTTCCTACCATGTCCTTTATTTTGCTCATTTAAATTATTTATATTTTAGTTTGTTATACAGAAACCATTGGATATTTAACTTTATGTGCTGATTTATTTCACTTAGCATTACAGAATCAAGACCTATCCAATGTTCTATAAATGACTCAAGTTTATCTCTCTATGAATGAGTAGTACTTCCACTGTGTGTACGCATAGTTTGTTTATCCATTCATCTGTTAAGGCAAATATATGCTACTCCCACAATTTAGCTATTATGTATTGATCTGCTATAAAACAAGGGTTAAACATATTAAACACTGGCACTTATTTCTCCAATTGTTAAGTGTGAGATTTTAATGAATCATACAGAGGATTTAAAAATAATTCTTTGTGTGGGGATGGGTGCAGGTATGTGGTACTGGACAGAGGAACCAAGGAGTGGCTGTTCTACTCCCAAACTACATTTCTAGTGCTCTCTCCCCCAACTCCATGTGTGTGTTATGTTGTGTTACTCAAGACAGCCTCAAAGTTGTGCTTTGCCTACCTCAGCCTCCCAAGTAGCTTGGTTAATTTCTTCAACCTTATACTTTAATTCCACTAACAAAGAAAATATGAAAATGCATGTCCATTTGACCCAGAAGTTAGAGACACAACCAAAAATGTAAAGACACAGGGCTCAGTAGCATAGCATCTTGCTCAAGATTTGATCCCAGCCTCAAAGAGGAAAAAAAGGCAAAGGGTTTGCCCAACTGCACAAATGGTACAGAAATAGAACCAATGTCATTCTGTCATGTGACTGAACATACAGCGTCACCCAGATTGGGTAAATGACAAGAAGATTCTTAAGAGCTTTTCTTAAAATTTTAAATGCACACTCTAAAATGCAACTGCATCCCACATATTCACACAGGTAATTACAACTTTAGCTTCTCTTAAGGTTGTTCAAATTAATACTTAAAAGAGAAAAGAATGATTTTTGAAAACATAAATATGGATTTAATTACTGCTTTTTATATTTTATTCCTAAATTAACAATAATTTAAATTACTTGAATTCAAATATAGTTTCAATAAAATGGATTTATTTGGCCAGTCTGTTAAAAACTCAAAATTATCTAAACTAACTGAAAACAGTCCAGTGAGCACTAATTGATTTGTCTTCTCTAATTACTGTCAACTTGTCTACTCATTGATATATTTAGAACATAAAATATAATTCCTTTACATTTTAAAGAGTTTATCTTCAGATTAAATACTTTTACTCAACATAAAACATTAAAATCAAGTTTTTCTAATCATTTTACTTATAAACAATCCATCAGGCAATATTAAAAATAAGTATTTCATGCTTGCTTTTATTCTTTAAACATATAACAGTGTAGTTAAATATTGACTAGAAGATAAATTTCAAAATGTGATTTTTAAAAATCTCCAATTTCTGTTCGCCAGAAGAACAGGGATTGGGTTTTCTTAGTCTTTGTTTATATCTTTTACATCTTTGACTTAGGGAAATGCAGTATAGATCTCAGAAGACTGCATAATTCAAAGAAGCAAGAAGCACAATGAATCACTGTTTTCAATATCATAACCAACTTTATATTAGATGAGACACTATAATGCACCAAGAGAAAACAGCACTTTATAGTTTGTAATAATAATTGAGAGCTTTCATTTTGTTTTTAAGCCAAGAAAACAACAAATAAAAAAATCGAAGTCAGGCTAGGGATGTAGTACAGCAACATAAGCACCTGCCTGGCAAGTGCAAGGTCATGAGTTTGATCCCCATACAAAAAAAAAAAAAAAAAAAGCAAAGTCACCAATACAAGTACAAATTTTGAAAGGATCACAGACATATTTTCAAACTAAAGAAAAACTACATTAACATTTAGGGGGCCATAGTTTAGTAGTAAAGCATATGTTTAGCATGTATAAGGCCATGAGTTCAATTCCCAGTGCCAAAAAAATAAGAAGAATGTCTTTGTGCTTAATTTCATATTTATTCAGGAAGTAATTACTGATCATCAAGGTACTAGGAACACAGAAATAAAACAATGCCTAAACTCTAGTGGGGATATTTAAATATGTAGACACAATTCCATTCATGCTATACATTCCATGAGAAACTGGATATGAAAAAGAAAGTCAGTGATTATTAAGAAAATATTCAAGTACATGTTCAACAACCTTCATGGTTCTCTATTATACAATGCCAAACATTCAATTAAAATCTTCCCAGTGGTTTAAAGATTTTAACACAAGGCTCAGCTGCTACTTCCCTGAAAAAGCAGAAGGGAAAAATGTTAAGAGGCAGCACCCCTAGGATAAAAGATAAAGTAATTAATGGCTGTTAAATTTTACACTGCACCAAAAAATACTAACATGATTGTGATTACATAGAAATTACATAGTTGTTTTTCCTCAAGGAGAGAGAAAGGAAGGAATGAAAGAGTTGTGGTGCAATATTTACAGTGATTATAGAAGACAAATCAGTTAGTGCTCACTGGATTGTTCTATCAACTTTTCTATGGTTTTTATTTTTCCAGAAGAATAGAGATACCAAGAAACTTGTTAAAATAAAGAGCAATCATCACTAAAATAGACTGTCATGTTTCTGTTAATGTAAATAAGGTTTCAGAGATGGTTTATTTCAAGTCGAAGACAGTAATATTTTTTAGAAAGAAATTATCCTATTTGTATAAACTATATAAATGCAGTCTGAATTAATGTGTCATTTACTTGCCAAGAAAGAGTTAAACTATATCCCAAAGGTTGGCATATAAGTAGATACAGTGACTTCTGAAAAATGCTGAGTCTAAATTAAAATTCATATATCAGCAACAGCATAGCAAGTCTCACTGTCCAGCAACTGTGAAAAGTAATCACTCCCATAAAAACAGTATGTTAGTAAGGGCTGGAAAACTGTTTGAAAAGAATTCTGAGATATCAAGAAGAGCAACAAAAATTAAGTTCTAGGCTTTCAGGGAAGCTACTGCATAATAGGCATCATGCAAAAGGGAAAAACCATGAGAAAAAAATTAAAGGTCACACTATCTATCTCATACAAAACTATTAAATTCAGCTTAATATCATAAACATTCTTTTCCATGAAGAGGCTATTTTGTTTCCAAAGATAACCATTACAGTATTTACCATTCCACATGCTGATTTAAGATCCTAGTCACACTTTCCTGAAGAAATAGGGGTCAAAATCCCCTCCCTTTGAATTCAGAAACATGTGCTCCCTGAAAAGACAGAGGAAGGGAACCTGTGTCATAAAAGTCATACAGCTCCCGCCTGGATTTGAAACAACTGACCTTGGATACATGGATCATTTTAAGTCCAAAACCACTACACTATGAGGAAGCTCAAGTCACCCACTGAGAGGGTCACTGGCTCACAGGGGTTACAAAATGAGAAAAAGAGTCTCAGAACTGAACTTTGACAGAGGAAGGTCAAACAGGATGCCTTATAAACCCACAATAGGACTAAGAATGCCTCTTCTTCCGCTTGCTTCCAACCACAAGTAATTAACCAACTCCAAACATTTCACATGGGGACCCCGTGCTTTCTCAGAAGGTACTGAGCAACACTGGGAGAGCCCCAGAGAGAGGCTAAGAGCCAGATTATTCTTCAATTTTGAAGATAAAAGCCTTAATTTTGACTTAAACTTCATTTCCCAAGACACTTTCAAGTAAAGCCAAATTGCATCAAATGTATTTAATTCTCATAAATTCAACACTAAAACCAAATAGAAAGTAAGATCACAAAATCAAACGAACTATTCATATTTCATCCTCAAACACTGTCATCACATTCTATGTCCAATCACTTAGCAAACCTTTTCTCTACTTTCAGAATTCCACTCTTTCTTATCTTCTCTACCCTAACACACTGGTGAAAACCACTATAATTACTTTTCTTGCATAGATGATTACAATAGCCACCCACAATCCTGGCCTCCTTCAGTCTATTACCAACATATTACCAACCCAGTGACCCTTGTAAAACCTAAGTTACAAAATCTTGATACCTGGCTCTTCTCAATAACACATAAATAGAAGTTCATTATAGTCTCTACTTTGTAAGTGAAGTTTTTTCTAGTTTAAAAAAAAAAGGTAAATAATACTGGAAAAATGGTTAACTTCTCCTCTCAAAACCCTCCAACAGCCCCTAATCTAAAAGTAACCCACAAGATCTACCCTCCCCATACCATTCTCTCCAACCTACCCCCTAAGCTTCCCTCCCTCCATCACCAGGCCATGTTGTTGCTCCTCAACTCCTGCATGAGGTCCTCTGTGCTTGCTGTTTCCTCTGTGTCTTTATACTCTTATCTCCTCGCTCCAGTGTCACCTTCTCAGTGAGGAAGGCCCAAGCAACCCATTTTAAGGGGACTTTTCTTCCAACACATATCATGTCCCTTCCCCTCTTATTTTTCTTACACTACTTCTCACCTTCCACAAGAACACATGATTTTCTTTGGCATTGTTCACTGTTTGGCTCCTACTGCTAAATAGAATTTCCCAGTCTTTTTTATGCCATGAATATCTTTTGCAGAATGATACAGCATATGAAACTTCTTATCAAAGTAAGGTGTAAAGTGTTATAAAATGCATGAGGATACCAAGCATGGTGTCCATTCATGCCTTCCTAGTATTTTTTTTTGGGGGGGGGGCTGGTATCAGGGATTGAACTCCCAACCTCAAGCTTGAGGCGCTTACACCACTGAGCGATATCCCTGGTCCAGTATGGTGACATCAGTCTGCAGTCCCAACTAACAGAAGGCTGAGGCAAAAAGACTGGTTGAGCCCAGGAGTTCAGCCCTGTCCTTTAAAGATCTAATAATAATAATACGTGGGCTGAGGATACAGCTTAAGGGCAAAGTGCTTACTTAGCACGAGCAAGTGAAAAGCTCTGAGTTCAATACCTAAGGACACTAATAATAATAATAATAATAATAATAATAATAATAATAATAGTAATAATAATTTAAAATGCAAAGGACTGCATAGGAAACAAGGCATGCTACAATATACATATCAAAATACTTTTATACATTTATATAAGACATGCAAGTCTTTAGTAAATAATAGGCTCCAACAGTGGGTTTTTTTAAAGGTACTATAACTAAGAGGTCTCTGCAACACCATATAGGATAAGAAAATACATGTGACTTCCTAGTGGTATAAAGTTTCAGAGACACTTCTATTACTCAGGCTTATTGCTACACTAAAGGAAACACTAAATTCCAGGTAAAGGATAGAAAACAAATATGTGCTTTTTAAAATTTGCCTATGTTCATGAATATCTTCCCAGAATTCACAGGTAAGGATCATTGAGCACATAAAATACATGAAGAAATGGATTATTTTCTGGTTTTATTGATTGCTATTTCCCCAAAACCTAATTAAATCACTGCCACTCAAATAGCAGGGTCTCAACAAGCACTGCCCAGTCCATCCAATGTATTTCTTCTTGCTGGCTGAGTGTCAAGCTGGGACAAGAGACTCTACTGTTATCTCAGTTGGTATCTAGTGCCAGTACCAGTATGGAAGGGAGGCTAGAATTACAGACCATCGCCTAAACACAAGCCCAGTCCCTTAGCCCTGATGCTACCCAAAGAAACAATGGTACTGTGAGCCAATGTTCTTGTACAGTTAAAACTGTCAGTCCAAGTCTCCAACATGCCTTTTCCATAGGTCTGAGTAAAGAATATTCTGTCTCCAGGAGATTTTCACCTTCCCCTCTCACTTTAGAACCTAATTTCTAAGGAAGGTTTGGATACTACTGTACTAGAAGATGACTTTCAGACTACCTCAGATTTTAGTTTCTATGAGATTTAAGAGGAAACTGAATGTGAAAAGAAATAAGGAAAGCAAAAGACAGCAGAATTAACTGTTTGGAAGACTAGATTAATTCCAAGTGGAAAAGAGCAAGAAAGATAACACTAAAAACAAAATTATACTTCTGTGATTGTTTTTATCCTCCATCTCTAAAAATGACACAAATCTCTCCTGCTAACAAATCTACAGATAATACAAAACAAATAGAATGTCTTAAAACTTGCTTATATTTCGCAGTTGCTAAAACAATTGTTTTCTAAGAACTATGATGTTATCAATGCACTGGAGTAAAAATTTTTTTTATTTAACAGTTACTTCTGATTTTTGAAACAAGTAAAAAAGAAGTGTTCTAAATTTATAACAAAGGACATGCACATAGGGGAGATGCAGCAATTTCAAACCCAAAAAGAAAAGAATGAATTTCACACTACAAAATTATCAAAATGATTCACTATTTCTGGACTTGCAAAGGAAAACAAATATATATTTTTGTAACATATAAATATTCAATTAAGTTATGACTGCTCTTATATATACGTGATTCAATTCTACAGACAACATTTCAAATTAAATAGTCAAATGTTAGTAATTTTTGCCTAAAAAATAGAATAATTCTAATTTTTAAAATACACTCTAAGAACAAAAAGATAACCCTTTGTAATGTTTAAGGAAACATAAAAATTTTTGAATCACCCAAGAGTCATCATTAAAATTTGCATGAGGAAACTTTCTGAATAATTTCAATTTTTCTCCCATTTAAACATTAAAAATTAGATGATCATTATAATTACCTTATGCTTTAGGTATCTGTTTACCTGTCACTTTAATAAAACTCTGGTAACTGCAATTTTCATCAAAAGTATATTTTGGACAGCTTCTCACCTGGTCTCTTCATCATCCCAAGCGATGCGCATGCCTTTCCCACCACCACCTGCTGAGGCCTTGATCATAACAGGGTAGCCTAACAGCAGGGAAGAATTAGACAGACATTCAGACTTTGATCATCTGGATGCATGAACATGACAAATGACCACATGTTCAATAACACAGAAGACAATAACTAATTTATTTAAAAGTTAATTTCTTAAGAGTCAGAAAAATAACACTGGTGTAACAATTTCATACATAATTTTCAAATGAGACTATGATTGTTTTAAAAGGTAAAAGGCTATTTATATCAATCAGTAACATTTATATCAATTTATATCAATACGGTAACATTTTCCCTAGTAATGAAATAAAAGCTAAGAGAACATAAATAAAGTAATAGTGAGTTCTAAAATTGAAACTAGATTTATTATTTACTAGCCAAAGAGAAGAAGCAACTTATATAGCACCAGGAATCAATCAATATGTCCCACCCCGGTTCCCCAAAACTGCCGTTTGCATGCACAAATTCCCTCTTTTTTTCTACACTAGTTATTACCAGGTACCAGGTAGGTATCTTCATCTAAAAATTACATGGAGTCCCTACAGCTTTTAGCAGAAAGAACTGACTTGATGGTACTGGGGGAAAATCAAGCATGACTATTATATTATGGGTTGGAGCTAAAGATCTAGGGCTCATTATTAATTAATAATAGCTAAGTTTTGCCCTACTCCTTACATTTAAAATAGTACCATAAAAATACAAACTAAGGTCCAAAACAAACACCATTTCCAGCTAATATTTATAGAAGAAAATGAAATTACAAAATTGTTCTTAATTACAAAACTGAGCATTTAGTTACTGTAAAGTTTTTAACACAAAACTGAAAACATTACATCAAGAAAGTTGTAGTTTCCTCTGTCAGAGGTTTTCTGGACACAGGATAGAAATATTCATATGTTTAAGACCATTTCTTTATGATCTTTTCTGTAAGAAAGAAGAGGTCAGTGGGCCATTAAAGGACCACCACCACCACCACCACCACCACCACCCCGCCTCCCGCCTGTGATTCTGTAATAGCACTAAACTCTAGCTATAGGATCCTTGGAAGAAAAAGGAAGAGGGGGTTAAATGTCACAGACCTTTGACCCCATACCACAAAACACCTTAACTTCAGCTTAGTTAAAATGGTACTTGCTTCCTAAATATTTTATAGTTAATGCAATTAAAATGCTTTTGGTTGTTATGTTTATGTGGGATGGCATTTTTAAAACAGTTCTAAATGCAATAAGAGGAAGAAAGATAAATTTCATATTTTTCTTAGATTAGGGCCTTATAATCCAGGAAGAGAGAGACAAAGGACCCAAATAACTCTTAACATCAGCAATTCAAAAAGCAAAGGATCATAGGAGGGTAGAAAGATAAGGGATTAGGAAAAGCACAATGCCAAAAGATATGCTTAACTGAAATTATGAAGGATAAGCAGGTTTGAACATTTTAGAAAACAAAAAAAAGAGGCAGGGAGACATGGGCTAAATATAAGAAATGACTGAAACAATTTGGGTGAAGCATAGATTACCTGTAATTGGCAGAGAATCAAAAGCATAGGCTGAGGGCAGAGCTGAGAAGATTTGGTCTGCTCTCATTCTTGACCGCGCATGAGACCCTTCCTGAGGTTTGCTATGCAGGACAGCAGCAAGAATGGATCTCTTTCAGCAATGCAGCCTCACAATGAACATCGCATAAAGGACTTAACATTTAAATCACTAAAGAACAGACTGTTTTGGAAGGGTGAAAAAATATTATCCAAAAATTCAAAACTGGAAAGATACAAAATCTTGTTTATAATAATTTAAGATCTCTTTTACAAAAAATGGATCCAATAATTTAGTCTCAGACAAATGGATCCAACTACCACCTCTCTCCAAAAATGTTATTAATTCACCACCAAAATTATTTAGCCATGTAACAAGAAATCACAAAATGTGTGATATACACAACCCATGTGTCAGTTCCCTTAGAAGAGTAGGAAATTTATACAGTTTTTAAATTCCAGTCTGAATCTCACCTTAATCATTTACTATGGACCCTGGACTATACAGAGATGTGTACATTTCAAAATAAGATGAGAAAACAGTCCTTGGCCCCCAAAGATCTAGCTGAGGAAACAAAACACAAAATAATTCCCTATTAGCAAATTATTTTGTGTGATCAGAAAATGTGAGAAGTTATCAGAACATAAAGTAACATATAATAAAGCAAACAGTCTGCCAAAAGAGAAGAGTTAATGCAGTATTAGACCAGTTAACACATATAACCAACCAGGAAGGCAAGATTCCCTACAAAACAAGAAGCCAAATATAAAAAGGTTGGAGGGGCATAGAAAAGAGGGAAAAACTGAAATTAGTGACATTAAATCTCTTTTTTTTTCTTGTTCTTACCAGAGATCAAACTCACAACTTCGCACTTGCCAGGCCAGCACCATGTTACTGAGCTACATGTCTGGACCCTCCTTTTACTTAAACTTTTGATATTGGTGGTACGATGATGGGTTCTGGGGGCTGAACTCAGGAAGCACAGAGACGCATCCCCAGTCCTTTTAATTTTCAGATGAAATCTCAAAAAACTGTCCCGGAAGGGTTCAAATTTACAATCCTCTGGCCTTGGCCTCCTTGATATAATTACAGCTGTGAGTCACTATCACTAGCTTGACACATTTGCTCTTTGTTTCTTTTTTAGCATATGTCTGCAATACAAAATGAGTATGTTCACTATGGAGTATTGATACTGGTACATATGTACATCATGTCTTGATCTTTTATACTGATGTTAATCTAATTTTTGAGCTATATTCTGAAATAATATAGAAGTATGGTTTTCTACTTAATTTCTTATGCTAAATAAGTCATTAAATTTCAGGCATCACTTACTTCTATGCTGTTAGTATGCCACAAAGAAAAAAGACCTACACAAATGAGGGGGAAAATAATATTCCATACAAATAGTGTCAGATAAACAGGTAGGCCCTCAACCCTTTCTTATTATGTCTGTGAAATGCTGGGTAAGGTAAAAGTCACAGGATTCAAGGAACTGGCCTGGAGAAATTAGAAATGATCAATAATTTGACGGTCAACAACTAGACATGTAATTTACAAATTCTATAAGGCTTTTAAAAGAAAGAAGACCTCTTGGTATGAAGAAATTGCTTCTTTAAAAAAAAAAAAAACAGATAAAGGCAACCTGCACTCCACCTGCAGCATGGAGGGAGTGTCTATTCTTCATCTTCCCTATACACACATCTCCCCTTTACACAATTAGAGAAACAAATGCTTCCCAAAAAATCTACTCTTTGCATCATAACACATGAAATCTTCTAACTCTATCACCAAACTTTCTTTTATTTGCTCAAAAATGTTTACTGAATACATATGACAGGCCAAACACTGAAATGGGTCTGCACAACACAAAGATGAACAATTCAGAAAGTTGCCTGCTTTCACAGAGCCTTCTACTAACAGCAAATGGCACAGGAACATGCAGCCACCTGATGCACATGCTATCTAATATAAAACAGTGATCACCATCATGATACAAACAGCACTAAAAGTTGTAATTGAGAATAACTAAAGAATCTTTCCTTGAAAAAGCTTGTCTGAAGAAACTGACATTTAAACCAAATCTGAGTAAAACAGAGTTGGCCCTCTGAAAAAAATCAAGAAAGGAATATTCCTGAGAAAAGGACAAGTTGGAAAGTGTTATACAGGAGTGGCCTCAGAAAATATTTCCAAAGATCACTTTGGCTGCTATGCAGTGTATGAACTGCTGAAACAAGCAGTTGAGCACAAGACCTTTGCACTGATCCAGGTGACAGACAGCAACGACCAGGATCTATTTGGTTAGAAGAAAGATGGACTTAAAGTATGTTTTACAATTTGATGCACCAATAGGTTATATGTGGAAGACAGAAAATGAAGATTCTAGAAGCCATCCCAGTTAGTCATGGATTCCAAGTCAAAAAAACACTTTTTTGACTGACAGTTAAGTTTACTTACATTAGAAACAATAAATAACTTGGCTCTTCAAACAAGTCCACCTCACACATAGTGGGGCATCACCTGATAATGTAAAAGCTAATTAAATAACATCTTAATAGTAAATAAAACCTCTTAATTCCAAGAGTAAAAACTTCTATGTAGTTTTATTGCTATTGGTGTTGTTTACCTATATTTTCTTGAACTATAATTTCATAAGATATAAATGGAGAAAGAAAATTGAAATATTTCTTGGAAATGCCCTATGTTATTTAATGATATTAACTAGAAATCTCTCATGGTTCTCAGAGAAGGTATGACTTTCAAAAGGATGGAGGGAGGTCTTCTTTTAAAAACATTTGGGAAGTCAGATAGAACAGTGCATGATTATAAGCACTGCTTCTTGGAAGGCTGAGGCAGGAGGAATGCAAACTGGAGAATAGCATGGACCACTTAGAAAAACCCTGTCTCAAAATTAAAATGACTAAGGGTGTATCAGTGGTATAGCATCCCTGAATTTGATTCCCAGTACTGAAAGAGACAGACAGACAGACACATAATTGGAAAACCGATAATGAACTGTAAGACTTTTGCTCCTTAAAGAAAAATTCAATGCAAAAAAAAAAAAAAAAAAAAAAAGATGTTTAGGGAGCAAGACAGACTTTTAGATAAGTAGAATAATGGATAAGGGGTCTAAGGAAAGATAAACACAAAAGGCTGAGGGAAAAAAATCCAAAACAAAGAGTTGAAAGGAAAGCCTCAGGTGAAGGCTATACTTTAGAGTTACAAGGAAATTAAGTATTACAACTGTAATTGTCATATTTCTTTATGCTCATTTAATGTAAATTCACTTTGGGGAGAGTATTTATTTTTGCTTTTGCATCAAGTTGGGGGAGGGGGTCATACTCACAGCAGTCAATGTCCTACTTCTAAAGAATAAAGGTTGTTTCATAAACTATTCCACAATTTGAAAACACATGACTGGGGGCTGGGGATTTAGCTCAGCAGTATAAGCACCTGCCTGGCAAGTGCAAAGTTGTGAGTTCATTCCCCAGTACAAAA